CAATTTTTCTCCCTCCTCCTTGTTACACACTTTTAGATACTTCAAAACTGCTCTCATGTCCCCTCTCAGCCCTCTCTCTTTTAAACTAAACAAGCCTAGTTCTTTCATGTCTTCTAGACCTTTAATCATTTGTGTTGCTTTTCTCTGCATTTTCTCCAATTTCTCCACAAGTTTGGTCCCTGTGCTTCAGTTTACCTCTCTGTACAATGGGGATATGTTCACAGTGACTCTCCTTTGCTAGGTGAGTTGAAGATCCTTCAGGGAAAGGTGCTGCCCAGTGTGATGAACGTTACTGATGAGAATCACTGATCTCTGACCCTTAACGAAAGCTCTGCGTGCCTGCAGAAAATGCGATTGTCTCCTCTCGGTGATCTATCTCCAGATATGACAGTCGACTATCTGCCTGTCCCTCCTGAGCATATCTAGGGTAGCAGACCCTCTGGCGAGCTCGGCGTTATCCCTACATTTCTTACTGATCAACTCTAAGTTACCAATATCCAGAAAGATACAAAACAGCCAGCTGCTCTTGGATCCAGAGCCCAAAGGTTCTCTGCTCCCTTTGGCAAAAACACCTTAATGAGTGTTTACTCCTGAAGATGGATAATTAGCAGAGAAGGGCTTGTCCCTGGCCTGTTTGCATCCAGATTCCCACTGAGAGAGCACAGAGCTATATTATAACCAGTGCCCAGCCCTGTGTCAGCTCTCAGTGCGGGACGCTGCTGTAGACGCTGGATGGAGAGAGGTGTGGGACGCGGCTGCCTGAGGGGTGTTCCCAGGGACGACACGTCCCTCTCAGCACTCACAGGTACCAGCTCTTGCTCGACAACCCCAGTGCAGCACAGGCCTTATCAGACAGAGTCGGTCTGTGTCCTTTCCGCTCTGCACAGCCACTAACCATTTCAGCGTCTTGCTAGGCCACGAGTGTGCTCCAGTCTCACTGGCAAAAATTCATTCCCTTCTGCTCTCCACCTCTCACCCCGTGTGGTGGCCTCCAGCCCTGAGGTGGGGGCGTTTCAGTGGCACAGGGGATCCTGCAGGATTAAGGGGGTTAGTAGGTGTCCAATGCGAGGACAAATTGTAATGTGGTGGCTCATGCTCTGCTTTGACCCCAGTGAGGCAAAACTCCCCTCGGAGTAAGAGCCTCACGAGCCAGCTGTGTGTTCCTGCACAGACACGGTCACCTCGTCCTCTTGCAGATCAGGGCTCCAGCTGTTAGGGGGGTGGGAGATATTACTTGACTCCTGGGAAGCTTGGCCGTGCTGGGGCTCTGCGGTGAAACAGTGGTTCAGCGTGGGCAGACATGCTTCCTCCAGTTTCATTTGAGACGCCAGGCGAACGGCTACGCCAGAAACATTCCAAAACCCAATTCTGCTGGAAGCAGAAACCCAGCGTCCGGAACCTTTGGCCCACACTTTAACCTTTGCTCAATGCATACACAGCCAAAAATGGGGTCTGCTAATTGAAAGTCTCTTATTTAACTAAAGATGGTGCCGGCAGCACAACCTACAATGGCCAACACATTGCACATCCCAATCAACTACCCTCTATTCTCCAGTAATGCTGGTAGCAAGGCGTTCCCCAGGCCAAATATGGATTAGGTTAGCAATTTACTTTATCTCATGGTTATATGTTCAGACTTTTAATGGAACATCCTGTGCTCTTGTTTGTGTGTTCTGAGACAGAGGAAATATAAATGCCCGATCTAATTTCTTTATGGAGAGATTCAGAGAGCTGAAGGTCAGAAGAGACCATTAGACCATCCAGTCCAACTCATGGTGCATCTGCACAGCTCCCTTAGCTCGAAATAAGCTAAGGACTTTGCGCTACACTATTAAAACCATTTGTGTCCATGGGCCACTCTGACCAAATGCTCCTGATCAATCGATGTGTCTGCCCTAGCTGCCACATTGTAACCCCTCTGCCAGTCTCTGCATGGTCCACAAATTGTATCTGCTATGAGTTTCTATTTCCTTCCAGATCGTTGATGAAATTATCGAATAGCATTGGGCCTAGAATATATCTGTGCAAAGCCCCACAAGAAACAGCCCATTCGCTGACAATGGCCCAGTGACAATGGCTTTCTGAGATCGGTCAGCCGGTTTGTATTACATTTTACATGGGCTCTACTGTTAAGGTCGAGTGTTACTCTTGTACCTCAGTATTTTCCTCTACAAAATCAAATGCCCCAGAAAAAGCAAAGTTTGTTGTAACTGAGCAGTTCCCCTGATCAACCAAAAGTTCATTCTCATAAATCGATGCAATCAGATTTATTTGAGAAAACCTATTTTACACACTCCCTGTTGTTGATTGGAATTAATTATATGTCTACATTTCTTTTCTGAACTAACCCTATATCTGTTTTCCAATTGTTTTTAAGCCTGGTCAATCTTTTTAACTTTTCCTTTACTTCTAACACTTTACATTTAACACTGGAATTGCCCTAAAACTTTTCTATGATTCCTCTTGTTCTTAATGTATGTAACCCCCTCCCTTTTACGATCGTTAGCCCTGCTAACCATGATAGCTCTGTGATATCTCTAACGTTCCTTATCAATGTCGATAACTTCTGACTTGTATTCCTCACCATCTATTTTTTCCTTTTCCCCTTTGTTAAATATTGCTTCCCCCCTCCCTAAGTGCTGCTTTCACTTTACCATTCTACTGAGTTCTTACCCAAAGTTGTTCACTTTCTTGACCGTGGAAGTGGTGCAGCCTGGGAAGGATCTATATTGGAATTTAAGTGGGTAAGCCAATCTGATCCGAGGTTCTACGTTCGTCCTCCTTATCCCATGTTACATGCTGGTAGACCTGTACGGCTCTACCTCAGGAGGGTCTGAGAGTCCAAAACAATGTTCACACTTACAATCAGGATATGTAATTAAAACAGGTTTTATTATTACAGTATCAAGGTGGCAAACACAACAAAGACTAGAGCACTGGGTATACAGATTCACTGAATCTCCTCTGCGGATAACATTAACCAAATCTGTGTTGTAAACTGGACTTACCTAATTATACAGGTTTAATTATCTAGCAGGATTTCATACTCACAAAATCTCTTTCCCAAAGGCCAAGCGTGGCCCGACCAGCCTTCCTCCACCTGAGGGAACTTGGTGTCAGGTGGAATAGGAAAGACTTAGAAGTAAGACTTAGATAGAATAAATGAAGTACGACAGAGATATAGAGATTGAACAGAGATTAGAGTTTGTTCTCCAACGTCGAGAGAGAACCATGGGCACTCCGGCATGGGCGTTAGCAGTAGCAGCCCTGATTTCCTTCATTCCTAGGCCTTTATCCCCTTCCTGGCACCAGGATGTCCAACCTCTTAACCAAAGTTGGACTTTGCACCCTGAGATTTTGGTGGGTACCTGCAGCTGAGTGGGAGAGAGATCAGGGATGGGGGTGGTCTATGAATGTGTATAGGAAAACTACTTGAGCTGTCTTTGGACCAATTCCCAGAAAAAAAAACAGTTGGGAAATCTTGCAGTTAGGTACCAGGAAATCTGTTCTCTTGAGTTTTGCTGGAATCTGCAGATTTGAACTTATCTCCACTCACGCAATATTGAGTCATGGCCCATCTGTGTATGAAGACCCAACTGTAAGTTTTACCGCTAAGGTCTTCCATTATTTTTACACAATACAGATCTCAAAAATAACAAGAGAAATAGAAAAATGATTTCACCCTATGCTTTAGCACAATGCTATTGCTAAAGCTAATTCATATAGGGTGCTGTAGGCCTTGCATTGCTGGCATGCCATTAAACCATATCAAGAGAGGGATAAGATAGGAAAGATATATCTTAGCAGGCTACAGTGTGAATTTTCAGTATCTTATGCACTTGAGTCAAAGAACAGCTTTCCTTCCCACTTTTTAGTCTAAATATTTTCCTCCAAATCAGTTTTACTGATATTTTTTCTGGCTTGGAAGAATTAGTCCTTGTGAAGCACGGAGCATCTGTAGACAGTATTGCTTTGGAAAGGTACTCTGTCTGTCCATTTGAGTGTCATCGGTTTCATTCTTTTATTTTCCTCTCCTCTATCATATGCTCCATTTTTTTTCATTAAGTGAAACAGTCCCTGACTTCTTAGTCTGCCCACAAATGGCAGCCTCCCCCATTCTCACCACCTCTCTTGGAAATCACCTTTCTATCTGCTAAGTATCAGAGGGGTAGCCGTGTTTGTCTGAATCTGCAAGAGCGGCGAGGAGTCCTGTGGCATCTTACAGACTAACCTAAGTGTTGGAACATGAGCACTTCCACTGTGGTCTTTGCCCACGAAAGCTTATGCTCCAACACTTCGGTTAGTCTATAAGGTGTCACAGGACTCCTCGCTGCTTTTTCTATCTGCTCTGTCCTACACGGAGAATGGGAGACCAAAACTCAGCAGATGTCCACATTTTTCTGGATGGCACATTTTTCTCCATCCCATTCCTTAGGCAGCCAAATGTTGTCTTTGTTTTTGACACAGCTGCGAATGGGGAGGTGTTTCCTGGAGCTTCTATCAGTGACACCCAGATCTTTTCCCTGTTTTATGGTCTAGTTGGGATGGTTGCCCCAACACATACCTTGGCAAAGGTTTGATTCCCCTCCCCCCACTGGTTTTCCTTGCATTAAGGAATCATGGTGCGTACCCCGTATCCACACTCATGTTTCCTGCTCGTGCCTTAGAAGGTTTTCCCCACCACAAAGTGCAGGAATTAATGACTCAGCGAGCACAGTAAGATATGGAATTGGCATCAGTAGGATCAGTTGTTTATAGTTATTTTCTCTGAATGTTGGAAGTGTTATTTTTCAGTGTGAAGAAAGACCAGTCTTCTTCACTCATAAACAAAGCCAGCAGCGGGGCATATTGTGTGTTATACTCACATTGTCTCTCCATGCAGGTATTTGTACCATGACCATCACCCTCAACTGGGGCACATCCAGGAAGTCAGAGGAACGTAACGTACATACAAGGCATTCCATTCTGTAGCAGACACTTGGACAACTCCTCCCTGATCCATGTCAGATTCCAACACAACTACCTTCACCAACCCCTCCATCTTCATCCTAATGGGCATCCCTGGCCTGGAGACATCCTACATATGGATCTCCATCCCCTTCTGCACCATGTACATCATAGCAGTCTTGGGGAACTTCACCATTATGTTCATCGTGAAGACAGAGCAAAGCCTCCATGAGCCCATGTACTATTTCCTCTGCATGTTGGAAATCATTGATCTCATCTTGTCTACATCGACCTTGCCCAAAACACTGAGCATCTTCTGGTTCAATTCCAGGGAGATCGATTTCAACGCCTGCCTCACCCAGATGTTCTTCATTCACTGCTTCTCATCAATGGAGTCTGGAATCCTTGTGGCCATGGCGTTGGATCGCTACGTGGCCATCTGTGATCCCCTGAAACATTCCACCATCCTGACCAACCGGATGGTGGCCAAGATTGGTCTGGCTGTGGGGCTGCACAGTAGCATTCTCGCGCTGCCCTACCCTTTCCTAACAAGGCACTGGTCTTATTGTAAAACCAACATCATCCCCCACTCATACTGTGCGCACATTGCCGTGGTGAAGCTGGCCTGCACTGACACCCAACTTAGTAGTTACTACAGCCTCTTTGTGCTCTTCTCTGTAAACGGTGTTGATGTCATTTTTATCATTGTGTCCTACACTCAGATCCTCAGGGCCATCTTCCGCCTCCCCACCAAGGAGGATCGGCTGAAGACTTTTGGGACCTGCGGCTCCCACCTCTGCCCCATCTCAGCTTTGTACATCCCAGATTTCTTCTCTGCGCTCACACACTGGTATGGCCACAATGTTCCCCTTCATTTTCTCATTCTCTTTGCCAATGTGTATCTCCTGATGCCTCCCATGCTACACCCCATCATCTATGGGATGAGGACCAAACAGATCCGGGATAAGCTGCTCCAATTGTTTACACGTAAAGAGAGCTAAAGGTTTTCTCCTGGAGAACGGGCTTTTGGACCAAGCCCCATGCAGACCTGGCTACTGGCACGGTGGAGAAGCCTTCTTCCTTTAACCATGTTGGAAGGGAGCGATCCCTTCTCATACCCCAATCCTGCACCTTTCCCCCACATTGAGAACAGGCTGGGAGCCTGAAGGCTCATGCCAGCTCCTACCACATGGGTACAGAATGCCTGGGCCTCAGTTTCCCCTTAGTAGGATGATCCATACCCATGTGCTAGTGCTTAGTCCTGAAGGGGCCATGGGTCCCTGGGAATTATTTAGGGTTAGGAGGCAGGTGGAGAATTGTTTGTGCACACATCTGAGTGGGAACTATTCTGGTGAGGCCACGCCTGGAGTATTGCACCCAGTTCTAGGCTTCCCATTACACAAAGGATGTGGACGCACTGGAGCGAGTCTAGCGGAGGGCAACAAAAATGATGAGAGGGCTGGAGCACATGACCTACGAGGAGAGGCTGAGGGATTTGGGTTTATTTAGTCTGCAGAAGAGACAAGTGAGGGGGGATTTTAAAATGAGCAGCCAGATCATTGCTGCACCCATGGGTGGGGGGGTGGTTGCACCAAAGTCTGTAGAAAGGGGGCCATTTGAGGTGTCAAATGAAAGCGTGTGGTCTACTGATTCTGTATATGCTACTCATGTACTTGTGTGATGTGTGTGTGTGTGTGTTGAGTTATGAATATGGGCTCTGTGCTAATACTGGCCTACACTGCCTGTTGCAAAGAGCAATTGTTCAGTTTGACTATGCTAATTAGCGAGGCTCCAGGGACAATGGCTCTCAAGTTGCCCAATACACACCCGAGGAATGTGTCTGGAAATCTGGATACCTGCAAACCAGCCAGGGCATAATGGCTGCCAGCAAGTGAAACAAAAATAGGTCACTCGACCGTGTGACCTGCTCTGGCCAGGAGAGATATATAAAGTCGTGAGATGGACTCCATCTTGCCTTCAATTCTGCTACTGATTCCAGATGCAGCCTTGTGAGGAACAGCGAGCCGGGAAGAAGAGTTGGCCGATCCTGACATAGGATGTACAGCAGAGACTTTTAAGCCACCAGTTTGTAACATCTTGCTGAGAGCCTGCATTGAGAACTTGGTGATGGGTGCTGTCGTACCTCAGTGTTCTGGACGTTGGTACCTTCGGTGGTCTGAACTGTCAGTGTCTGCGGCGTGTGGTCAGGGTCGTCCTGGCGTGCTCCTGACAGGACCTTTGTTCCGTCGGTGATGAGAAACTTTCAGCTGTGTGCGTAACAATCGGTACTCCCTTTATCTAGAGAGTTAGACCCTGTGCACTTGGGTCAACACAGGAGATCTCTGAGAGGCCCCGGAAACAACAGATGCAGGCAAGGTTTGAAATCAATCAAGCAGGTTTATTGTCAAATGCAAAGCTCTACCAGTTGGTAACAGAGATCAGTACAATGTTACACCACTGGGCACTATGGCCCGCGTTGACAAGGTACCAACACCGGGCAGGCCTATTGCCGTATAACAGATATTAACAGCATAAGTCAGAGTTAAGCTGCTGTGCACTCTGTAAGTTTAGTCAATGACACCTGCCGTTCAGGAGCCTAGTGCACCCTGATCCCCCTCCCCAAGGTCGGGCGGAGAGCACCTTTTATAGACAGGTATAAACAACTTACATCACTTCTTTACGTACCAGGTTACCATCCTCTGTTGCCTAGTTACCACCCCTCACCTTACGGAAGGGGGGCTCACTTACTATCCTTCATGCTGTCAATTCCGACCTGGTCCTGAACCTAGGTCGGTATGTGCATTAGTTTTTGAGGAGTCTTTGTACCAAGACATTTCTTATTAAGATGTTCCATTACTCCCCTTTGGCTCACAGTCTGTACCCAGTGCCTCCCTGTGTCCTTCCATGCTCGACCTAACTTACACAATCACACAGTTATCAGTAGGGCCTCTTTCTTGGCTCCTGTGTTACTGAACTAAAGTCTTGCTCATTGGATTGCAGGCCTGTTGCTGCTTTCATGCTACAGGCCTCTATTTAGGCCTGCTGACTCCATGTTACTGATCCTCAACTTACTACAGGTGCATGTAGTATATTCTCCTTAACAGCCTTACTCTCGTGCTTTTTTTATTAATAATAAACCTTTAGATTTTAGAGTATAAAGGATTGGCCCAGCGTGCCCTTGTGGGTAAGATCCAAAGTGTAAATGGAGTGGGATCTGTGGCTGGTTTCTTGGGACCGGAAGAACCCATTCGGGGTAAGTGAGATTGGTTCTATAACCCCTCACTGTATGTAGGCATGGGGCTCGTTGCGGCACAGGGAGAGCTGGGGTACCTAAGGGGTTTTCCTCATGAGCATCCTGCTGGATTGGCAGCTGGAGCACTTGGTGTGACTGGTGTGTGACCTATTTGGAACAGGGGCTGTAAGCAGCCCTGGTTTTGAGCAATTTGTCCTGGGCAGATGTCCTCAGCAGTGCCCAGACCCAGACCCAGACTGGTTCATCACAGAGGGATTTGGGTTGGTTTAGTCTTCAAAAGAGAAGCGTGAGGGGGGATTTGAGAGCAGCCTTCAACTTCCTGAAGGGAGGTTCCAAAGAGGCTGGAGAGAGGCTGTTCTCAGTAGTGACAGATGGCAGAACAAGGAGCAATGGTCTCAAGTTGCAGTGGGGGAGGTCTAGGTTGGATATTAGGAGAAAATATTTTCCTAGGTGGATGGGGAAGCACTGGGCTGGGTACCCTGGGGAAGGGTGGAATCTCCATCCCTAGAGGTGTTTGAGTTCTGTCTTGACAAGGCCTGGCTGGGATGGTTTAATTGGGTTGGTCCTGCTTGGCCAGGGGGCTGGACATGCTGACTCCTTAGGTCTCTTCCAGCCCCGGGAGTCTGTGATTCTAATTCCATGAAGCCAGCCCGAGGGTGAGATCACTCATCCCCACAGTGTCCCCCCTTGGCTCCCTCACCTCCTAGATCCACTGCTATTGTCCCTGGTGGGAGGGAAGCAGGGAAAAGGGAAACCAGAAAAAATCAAAGAACTTCCATGTCCCTAGTGATAAAAAGTATCTCAAAACTTAACATAAAGTTTTTGCACCTCAAATTTGGGCAGCACCAAGTGGATCAGGCTGCATATGCACCGGACCTCGCTGTGCCTCTCAGCTCCTCAACAGGGACATTGGTCCTCTAGCAAAATCGGCAGTGGGAAAGAAGAAAGCTCCAAAGAGGCGCCTCCTCGTGCTCATGGGTGTGACCCTGAATTTTCTCTCAGTCCCTAAGGAGAGACCTTGAGGAGGAGATGCCCTGCAGCAAAGCCAGAAATATCTTTGAGGTTGCCCCTGCCCTGTAGGCTGTCCCACCTGGCCGTTGCCAAGGACTCTCTGTGAGGTCACCGCCTCCCAGCCTCCTTTGACCAATAAGCTGAGGTGCCACAAAAGACCCTTGTGATGTCACTGCCACACCCAGCCCTGCCCTGAAGGGCCAATATCCTTCCCTGGCCAGTTGCTTTGCATGTTTGAGCTGCTCCCCCTGTGTCAGCCCTACACACCGTGTTAGTTCTATGGATGAAGCAGGCTGCAGGGGCTGTTCAATGGGTGACCCTCGGTTTGGCGTAGATTTGTCAACCTTAAGTTCTAAAGAGACTTTTAGATCATCTGATCTCACCACTGCTCCCTGCAGATCACAGTCTGGCTGGAGGATGCAGCTGTGTGTTTTGGACCAAAGCACACACCACCCCTGGCATCTGGTTTTATTGGAAGACACCAAGAGATGGAGAAACCAGCCGTTCCGTGGGGAGTTTGGAGGACACTGATGCAGTGACAGGAAGGGAATGGACCACAAAGCCACACCTATGAATCTGTATTCTACCCCACAGCACAACAGCACAACCGCTCTGGGCGAAGGTTTTACTAGTAACCCTCACACTGATCTTTACAACCATTGAAAGGCCTGGTCTCCTCATAGGTCATTATACGTATCGACCCCTTTTGGGGAGGCGTGACTGGCGTTACTTATTCCTGCCTAAGAGTTGTCCCAGAATAGCTTATAGCTTCATCAAACTGCCTTCCACCCATGGCTTATTGCTTGCACTACCACCCCCCTCTGTGTTTGGGGGCGTTTGTCTGTGAGGGTGTCACTACAGGGTTTTGTTGACAAAAGTGGACTTTTGTCGACAAACTAACGCCTGTGTCTACAGTACTGCCGAGTTGAGGGTGGTAAACCTCATTCGACGAGGAATAACTTCTTTTGTCGACAGAGTTCTGTCGACAAAAGGTGCTATTGCATCCACAGTGTGCTTTTTCAGAAGAGAGCATCTAGACTCTTTGTCAACAAAGTGGCTTGCTTTGTCGACAGAACTGGCTGTAGTCTGGACACTCTTTTTCGACAAGCTTTGTCGACAGTATGGGTACGTGTAGACTACAGGCTTTTGTTGATAGAGGCTTTGTCAACAGATACTGTCGATAAAGTTTCTGTCGACAAAAAGCGTCTGGACTGCATCCAGTTCTGTCGACAAAGCAAGCCACTTTGTCGACATGAGAGTGTAGACGCAAAGGACAATGTTGATCAGGGGTGCCCAAACTTTTTTCAAAGAGGGCCAGATTTGATGAAGTGAACAAGCGTGAGGGCCGACCATTAAAATTAAATGCAAATTAACTATTTTATGCAAAGTTTATTGCAAACGGCATACTTTTCATTTAATCACATAGATGACAAATCTAAACAGGTGTTAAATCACTCTGCCTTTCATATCTGAAGGCCAGATGAAAAAAAAAAGTCCAGGAAGCTGAAATATGTCAGGAACATTGTAAAGTACATTACATATTATTGGTAATAAAGGTTGTCTGTCAACTTTTAAGTTCAAAAAATATGAACAGGAACATAACACCAAGTATACATGTTGTGTCCAAATATATTTATAACTGATTTAGACCAACTGACATTAACTGAGATTTTACAATGTATTCATCTCAATACATATGGATTCGTTGGGGGCCATAAAAGATAGATATTGCCAAATTACCTGTGGGGCCGTATTAAACCAGAACACGGGCCGCAATTGGCCCGCGGGCCGGACTTTGGACATGCCTGGTGTAGATGCAATAACATCTCCTGTCGACAGAACTCTGTCAACAAAAGGCGTTACTCCTTGTAGAATGTCCATCAGATTAGGCTGATAGGCAAAGGGAAATGAAGCCACGATTTAAATAATCGCATCTTCATTTAAATTTAAATGTAAATTTAAATGGCTGCTGCGCTGAGCAGACAAACAGCTGATCAGCTGTTTGTCAAATCAGTGCGCTAGTCCGGACACTCCCACGCTGACCTGAAAGCCCGTTATCGACCTCCCCATTATGCCTCGTAGGATGAGGTTTACCAGGGAGGTCGATAAAGGGCTTTCATGTCGGCAGGGGAGCATACAGACTAGTGATCAGCTGTTTGTCGGCTCAGCGCGGCAGCCATTTAAATTTAAATGAAGACGCGATTATTTAAATCACGGCTTTATTTCCCTCTGCCGATCAGTCTCATCTACATGGCTCCATTGATGGAGAACAAGGAGGCAAGTGTTTGTGGCATTGTTAGCTTGACAGAACTCGGCTGTAGAGTAGACGCAGGTATAGTTTCGTTGACAAAAGTCCACTCTTGTCGACAAAACCCTGTAGTCTAGCCACACTCTTTTTGTCAACAAAGCCTCTGTCACCAAAAGCCTGTAGTCTAGATGTACCCTCAGTGAGTGAGTGAGTGTGTTTGTCTGTTTGTTCAAGAACTTCTCTTACACGGTACGAGTTAGGACCAGCAAGTTTGGCACACAGCTTCCTCCCACCCCTACGTATGCAGGGGCGCATAACACCATATAGTAAAGAGATGGAATTACCAAGCAGGTGAAAGGGGCTGTCTGGGGGCACCACCTCCCCTCCTGGACAGCCCCAGCTCTGAGCCTCCCACCTCCAGGCACATTTTAGGGAGGGAGATGGTGCCCTAACCTCCCTCCCTCCCACTATTCATACGGGAATATTGTTGGCTGTTCCTTTCGCAGGGGAGTGAGGGGAAAGTGTCCACGTTGCTGCATTCCTCACTCTGGCTGGGAGCACAGAGGGCAGAGGAACTTGGACCTGCCCCAGCCAGGGGACATGCCACCTCTCCCATGGAGAGGCACGTCTCACCTGGCCCCAAGCTGCTGCGGTGAGCGAGGGCTGGGGCTGTCCTCTCTCCCCAGGGCAGCCTGCCTCCCCACCCCCTCACCCACCCCCCAGTAGTGAGTTCAATGGAGAAACATGAGAACCGAGTGAAGTATCTGAGCAGTGCCAGGTACATTTTCGAGTGCTGATACCATGGGAACTAGACCAGTCGCGCTCAGGCAGGACAAATTCCTGGTGTGAACAATTCCCTGCTCACCACACACCTGATGCTTTAGACTGAATTAGAGCCAAGAAGTCAGGCTGCTGTTCAGAGGGAAGCCCGACAGCCTTCCCGCATGGCAACAACACAAAGACACTCGGCTGTCACATCCGACGGTGGTGGGCACAGACTGAAAAACCTACCTAAAGAACCCCCTGGGCCAATTTCAGCGTGGGGATTTCACCAGCTGTGGCTTAAGGGGAGCCTGGGCCCAGGCTGAATACGGGATCTAATTTCAAACAATAGAGCCCGTGTAAAGTATTTGATTGTTTACCGAGCACCTGGCTCTGAACAAAGGCCACGAGGGCTCCATGGAGTGGAGGATCCTTGGGGAAGCCCCACGACCTGTGTGACTCTCTCAGCCATCAGACAAACTGATGGGATACAGAGGGGAGAAGTTTCCTTCTCAAATGGTTCCACGAGGCATACAGTTAGTTTGGAATAGGAAACCTAATCCGAACTAGCTAGTCCGTGCTGCGTGTAGCCGCGCGGCAAGGGGTCCGAAGTAGCTGGCATTTAAAAATGGCACCGGACAGCATCATGCAAATGAAGCCCGGGAAATTCAAATCCCGGGCTTCATTTGCAACTCCGAATGACTACATTACCCTCCTAGTTCAAACTAGAGGGGTAGTGTAGACATACCCTAACAGTTTAAAGAGAAGCTAGATAATTTCATGGAGGTTAGGTCCATAAAAAACTATTAGCCAGGGAATAGAAATGGTGTCCCTGACCTCTGTTTGTCAGAGGCTGGAGAGGGATGGCAGGAGACAAATCGCTTTATCTTTGTCTTCGGTCCACCCCCTCCGGGGCATCTGGTGTTGGCCACTGTCGGCAGACAGGATACTTGGCAAGATGGACCTTTGGTCTGACCCAGTACAGCTGTTCTTATGTTATTCATAATCAACTACCTCCCTTTTTTTATGACAAACTCCCTGCCCCAAAGGCAAAGCTTCAGGTACTCAAACTCTATAGCAGTTAAGAGCTGCCTTTGAAGCGAGGGCCTGCAGCTTTAAGCAGACCTCAGGTATGAAATACAGGGATTCAAACATGGTACCTAGCCACCCAAGTGCATGTGGCTGTGTTTTAGGAAATCCGAATGCTGGCTTGCGCAAGTGTCAGTGGGGTGAAAAAAGAGGTGAGTAACTACGCACGTCTAGAAAGTGTAGTGGAGTAAAAAGTACAATATTTTCAAAAAAAGCTACTTGAGTAAAAGTCAAAGTATCACAAAAATAAATTACTTGAGTAAAGTACAAATACGAAAAAAATGTACTTGAGTAGTGTAATGAAGTATTTCTACTTAGTTACTTTCCACCTCTGCCAAAGAGGATGGAGAGAGGCTGTTCTCAGTGGTGCCAGATGGCAGAACAAGGAGCAATGGTCTCAAGTTGCAGTGGGGGAGGTCTAGGTTGGATATTAGGAAAAACTATTTCCCTAAGAGGGTGGTGAAGCACTGGGATGGGTTCCCAAGGGACGGGGTGGAATCTCCATCCCTAGAGGTGTTTAAGTCTCCGCTTGACAAAGCCCTGGCTGGGATGATTGAGTTGGGTTGGTCCTGCTTTGGGCAGGGGGCTGGACTCAACAACTCTTGAGGTCTCTTCCAACCCTGGGATTCTATGATTCCCCAGTTTGTGTCATAGTTACAGCCCTGTAAGGCCATGAAGAGGTTTAATATCTCTCTTGTTAGGGAAGAGGACTCAGCACCAAGTCATCAGCCAGCTCAGAAGAATCTCGGTCTGAAGACCAGAGCACCGGGGAAAAAATTACTCCATCTCAATTATGTGCCTCAGCAGCCTGTCTCGGATCTGTTTGGTCCTCACCCCGTAGATGATGGGGTTCAGAAAAGGGGGCATTAGCATGTGCACATTGGCCATGAGAATGTGGACATACAGGGGCACATGGTGGCCAAGCCGGTGTGTGAACATGGTGAAGAGAATTGGGATTCCAAAGGCTAAAATGACACAGAGGTGGGAGCTGCAGGTCCCAAAAGTCTTCAGCCGGGCATCCTTGGTGGGGAGGCTGAAGATGGCCCTGAGTATCTGGGTGTAGGACACTGTGATGGAAAACACATCCATAACAGCGACCAGGAGTATTACGTGCAGGACAGTTTCACCACAGACATCATCTCACAGAACGAGTGCGAAATGACGTTGGTTCGGCAATACGGCCATTGTCTCGCCAGGAAGGGAGAGGGCAGTGAGACGATGCAGCTGCGCAGCACCACGGCCAGGCCTATCCTGGCAACCACAGAGTTTGTCAGGATGGTGGAATGTCTCAGGGGATGGCAAATGGCCACGTAGCGATCCAAGGCCATGGCCGCGATGATCCCAGACTCCATTGCTGAAAAGCTACCTATGAAGAACATCTGGGTGAGGCACGAACCAAAATCGATCTCCCTGGAATTGAACCAGAAGATGCTCAGTGTTTTTGGCAGGGTGGACGTGGACAGGACCAGGTCAGTGACAGCCAGCATGCACAGGAAATAGTACATGGGCTCATGGAGGCTCGGCTCCTTCTTCACGATGAAGAGGACGGTGAAATTGCCCAAGAGGGCTATGACATACATGGTGCAGAAGGGGATGGAGATCCAGACATGATCCACCTTCAGGTCAGGGATGCCCAGCAGGATGAAGGTGGAGGGGTTGGTGATGTTAGAATCTGACATGGAGTAGTGGAGAAGGTGTTCACATCTGATGCAGAAAAATGTCTCCTGCATGAACTGTATGTGCCACTAATGTCCTGTATGTGCCCAGGGTCTAGGGTGACGGTCGCAGTAGAAATGCCTGGATGGAGAGACAATGTTCCTATGAGACGCTAGGGTCAGAGGATGGGTGACACCTCTGATGATAATATAGAGATGGGTCTTTTTCTGACCCGCACTGCTGGGGCCTCTTCTCACATGTGAAGCAAACTCCTCACTCTTCACACAATGAAAAATAACATTGACATTATTCAGAGACGTGAATTCTGAGCAACTTACCCAGCTCATTCAAGTTCCTTATTTTCTGGTGCTCTTTGGGTTGGAAACTCCTACATGTCATGGGGTGGGAAAACTCAGTCGGCACCAGCAGGAAACACAAGCATGGATATTGGTCATCCCCCCTTGTTCCAGGCTGCATTCATCTACCTGAACCTTCAGAATCTGAGACTGGAAAAAAAATAAAGCTTTGCCAAGATTTGTACCATGGGAAAACTGGAACACACTTTGGGGAAAAGACTTCGGTGTCACTGATAGCAACTCAATGGAAACATCTGCTCAATCCCAGCAGCGGCCAAAGAAAGACCATGTTTGGATACCTATGGAATGGGATGGAGGACAACCTGCACTGGACATGTGCTGAGGACTCGTCACCTCTTCTCTATAAAGGACAGAGCAGAAAGAAAGGGATTACTCGTCACAAGCTGTGAGAATGGGGGGCGCCTGCCCTATGAAGTTCAGTAAGGATGAAGTTTAATAAGGACGAATGCAAAGTGGTCCACTTAGGAAGGAACAATCCATTTCACACACAGAGAATGGGAAGCGACTGTCGAGGAAGGAGTACGGCAGAAAGGGATCTAGGGGTCATAGTGGGCCACAAGCTAAATATGAGTCAACAGTGTGATGCTGTTGCAAAAAAACCAAACATGACTCTGGGCTGCATTAACAGGTGTGTTGTAAGCAAGACACGAAAAGTCATTTTTCTGCTCTACTCTGTGCTGCTTAGGCCTCAATTGGAGTATCGTGTGCAGTTCTGGGCACCGCATTTCCAAAAAGAGGTGGAGAAATTGGAGAAGGTCCAGAGAATAACAATAAAAATGATTAAGGTCTAGAGAACATGAGCTATGAAGGAAGACGAAAAGAATTGGTCTTGTTTAGTATAGAAAAGAGAAGTCTGGGTATGTCTACACTACAAAGTTAGTTCGAACTAACGGACGTTAGTTCGAACTAACTTTAATAGGCGCTACACTAGCGCTCCGCTAATTCGAATTTGAATCGAACTAGCGGAGCGCTTAGTTCGAACTAGGTAAACCTCATTTTACGAGGACTAACGCCTAGTTCGAACTAGCTAGTTCGAACTAGGCGTTAGTCCTCGTAAAATGAGGTTTACCTAGTTCGAACTAAGCGCTCCGCTAGTTCGATTCAAATTCGAACTAGCGGAGCGCTAGTGTAGCACCTATTAAAGTTACGTTAGTTCGAACTAACTTTGTAGTGTAGACATACCCAGAGAGATATATTTAGACATTTACTTTTGAAAATTTAAGAAGACCACATGGCTATGTCTACACAGCAGTGTTATTTCGGAATAACGTAAGTTAGTCCAAAATAACAAAGAGCGTGTCTACACTGCAAGCAACACTCTTTTTTTGTGTGTGTGTGGAAGAACAAACGACAGCGGCCAACCCTAGGGACCCTGGAGGGGATGGACCGAAGACAATGACCAAGCCATTTGTCTCGTGCCATCCCTCTCCAGCCTTCCACAAACTTTGGGCAGGGACACCACTCCTACCCTCTGGCTAATAGGACTCCATGGACCCAACCTCCATGACTTGATCTCACTTCCCTTTAAACTCTGTTCTAGTTGTAGCCTTCACAGCCTCCTGCAGCAAGGAGTTCCACAGGTTAACTATTTGCTTTGTCAAGAACAACTTTCTCTTACTAGTTTCAAGCCTGCTACCCATTCCTTTCCTTTGGTGTCCTCTAGTCCTTCTTTATGGGAACTCAGGAAGAACTTTTCTGAATGCACCCTCTCCACCCAACCCCTGCTTTTAGAGACCTCTATCCTGTCCCCCCTCCGTCTCCTCTTTTCTAAGCTGAACAGTCCCAGTCTCTGTAGCCTCTCTTCATCTGGGACCTGTTCCCAACCCCTGATCATGTTAGTTGCCCTCCCCTCTCCCAGCCTTTCTCTTCCCCTCTCCCACCTCCTTTTCCCAGTCTCCCCCAGTTTTTTTCAATAAAGACAGAGTCAATGTTGGAAGAAACGTTATCTTTATTTTGTACATCAATAAGAAGGGGGGCTAGGGAAGGGTAAGTGGAAGGAGGTGAGGGAGGAATGGGGTACGAGCCCCCGATGGGGAGGACTGGGCTGGCTCTGCGGGCTTCTGGGGGTGGAAGCTCTCCTGCAGCCCCCCAATTACTCCCTCTCCCCAGATGGCAGCCTGCGGCAAGTGCAGCCGGGCTGATGGCCGAGTGGTGTGATGTGCCCAGTGTGGGCACTCAGGGCACTCCAAGCCAGAACTTCTTTGCAAGCGGGGCACCCCTTAGAACTGTGTGTCCGGGGTGGGGGTCGGGACCCTTTAAGCGCAGCCCTCGGCTAGCCTGAGACAGTATCTCCATGCTCTAAGTCCTCCTTTTATGCCCTGCCGGCACTGCTTCCGGCCATCCTTAAGCCCTGTTCAGAGTCCACTCAATGTGGACTTACTAGTTCGAACTAGCAAAACGCTAGTTCGAACTAGTTTTTAGTTCTAGATGCGTTAGTTCGAACTAGCTTAGTTCGAATTAACTAATTCGAACTAAGTTAGTTCGAACTAGCGCTGTAGTGTAGACGTACCCTCTGAGAGGGAACATGCAAACAGTTTTCAGTTATCTAAAAGGGTGTCATAAGGAAGAGGGATAAAACTTGTTCATCTTGGCCTCTGATTATATTACAAGATGCAATGGGCTTAAACTGCAGCAAGGGAGGTTTAGGTTGGACATTAGGAAAAACTTCCAGTCAGGGTGGTCAAACACTGGAATAAATTGCCTAGGAAGGCTGTGGAATATTCATCACTGGAGATATTTAAGAGGAGGTTAGATATATTACAAGATGCAATGGGCTTAAACTGCAGACCCACTGCACTTTTTCTTGTGTCGTCATATTTTATAATTTTTCCTGTGAATGTCTTTCTGTGAGAAATGAACCAAAATGGCCAACTAGTCAGCCACATAAGGAAAGGGTGAGGTGGCATTCTTAGCTAGAGAGCCATCTTTCATTATTCCCAGTGCATCATTCTTCCTTCCATATGTCTTTGCTTGCTTGTGACGATGAGTAGGCATTAGAAGTGGGAGGCACTACCTGAATCATCTGTGGAAAAAGGAGATATCATTTGTAGACAATCACCCCAGAGTCACAGCTAAAGAAGAAACAGACACCCCAATTTGAAGGTCTCACTATTTGAGGTTGCTTTATACATAATTATCTTGGCGTTCTACTGTACAAAATCAGCCGCAATTCCAGAAAAGCTACGCTGCTCCCGCTCGGGCATAAGTCCTTATTCCAGAACACTGTTCCTGAAAAGGGCCAGTGTAGACAGCCCAGGAGTCTTTTCTGGAAAAAAGCCCCGATTGCAAAAATGATGATCGGGGCTCATTTCCGGAAAAGCACGTCTATATTGGCCACAGCTGCTTTTCCGGGAAAAGGGCTTTTCCGGAAAAGCATCTGTGGCCAATGTAGTCGCTCTTTTCCGGAAATACTTATAACGAAAACTATTCTGTTTTAAGCATTTCCGGAAATTCATTCCAGTGTAGACACAACCAGAGAGTGATTATTAATGGTTGACAATCCTGCTAGAAAGCTATAACTAGTGGGGCTCCGCAGGGGTCTGTTTTGGGACCAGCTCTGTTCAATATTTTCATCCACGATTTAGATATTGGTATAGAAAGTACACTTATTAAGTTTGCAGATGATACCAAGCTGGGAAGGGTTGGGACTGCTCTGGAGGATAGGGTCAGAATTCAAAATGATCTGGAGAAATTCGAGAAATGGTCTCAGGTAAACAGAATGAGGTTTAATAAAGACAAATGTAAAGTGCTCCACTTCGGAAGGAACAATCAGTTTCTCACATACAGAATGGGAAGCGACTGTCGAAGAAGGAGTACAGCAGAAAGGGATGTAGGGGTTATAGCTGACCACAAGCTGAATAAGAGTCAGCAGTGTGATGCTGTTGCAAAAAAAGAAAACATGATTCTGGGATGCATTAACAGGAGTGTTGTGAGCAAGACACGAAAAGTCATTCTTCTGCTCTACTCTGTGCTGCTTAGGCCTCGGTTGGAATATTGTGTCCAGTTCTGGGCACCACATTTCAAGAGAGGTGGAGATACTGGAGAGGGTCCAGAGAAGAGCAACAAGAATGATGAAAAGTCTAGAGAACATGACCTATGAAGGAAGGCTGAAAGAATTGGGTTTGTTTAGTTTAGAAAAGAGAAGACTGAGGGGGGACATGATAGAAGTTTTCAGGTATGTAAAAGGGTGTCATCTTGGCCTCCGAGGATACAGCAAGAAGCAATGGGCTTAAACTTCTGCAAGGGAGGTTTAGGTTGGTCATTAGGAAAAGGTTCCTACCTGTCAGGGTGGTCAAACACTGGAATAAATTGCCCAGGGAGGTTGTGGAATCCCCCATCTCTGGAGATATTTAAGAGCAGGTTAGATAAATGTCTATCAGGGATGGTCTAGACAGTATTTGGTCCTGCCATGAGGGTAGGGGACTGGACTTGATGACCTTTCGAGGTCCCTTCCAGTCCTGGTATTCTATGATTCTATGACTGAATATGCAGACAAACAGTAAAGTCTGGGATTCTTCTGTTCAGAGAATCACAGAATCATAGAACACTAGAACTGGAAGGGACCTCAAAAAGTCATTGAATCCAGTCCCCTCTCCTCACGGCAGGACCCAGTACCATGTAGACCATCCCTGATAGATGTCTATCTA